GGCACATTTCTTGTTTATAAACATGTTTAATAAATTCCTGTAACTACAAAGAGATCAGTATAATACAGACAATCTGACACAACTGCTGTAAAAAAATGTTGGAGAACTAGAAAAATGTAACTACAATATGTAAGAGCTGACTCTGTGTAACATGTCTTGGCTGTTCTGTGAAATCTGAAAGGCTGCAGGGGAGAAATTATAGTTGTCATACAGAGAAATAATTCTAGCTAGCTACTTTTAAATCAGATGAAAATAGTTAACTGTGCTATTGTACAACTATGTACTAATGCCCATAAATCTATTCCTATTTTTGTCCAACACTGAATTTATCCCATTACTCATATATACCTGATATTTGCATCTAAAAGCCTGCTTCTATTAAATGAATTGTTTGAAGAAATTGAACAATTCTAAACTTGTTTCAGGGGATGTAATGGGAAAGGGAGTGTTAAGTATGTAGACGGTAATTTTGCCTTCTATTACAGCTACTGTTTTCTAAAATTTTAAGAGTACAAAACCACATATGAGCTGGGATTTTTGGTTGCCAAACCATATACGAACAATTTATCTGATCCTGCAGTGTAGCATATGAAGGAAGAATGAGGAAGAAATGTTGAACTATCATCTGATACAAAAAACATGTAAAAATGTCATTTTTCAGTCTTCCTTGAAGTATCTAAAATACTTGAGGGAGCAGTAAATAGGCAGCTTGATAGGACTCAAAGTATTATCTAGATTGAGATAAAATCTTGAAGCATATCACATTTTTCTGTTGCTGGGATGTTGCTTTAGAAGTCTGTGTTTCATGCCAGTTTGTATCTTGGCATGGACTACTTCCAAGAACAGATCATTTAAAATTCATTCTGTGCTTTGTACAATGCAAGTATATCCTACTGCTTGTTCTCAACTGTTTAATGGGATGTGTAGTTTTAGTGCTTTTTGAACAGATACGTCTAGATGGAGCTAAAAATCAGTTATGGAAAAGTAGAAAACTATTCTGTGTTAGATTCTTCAAATTCCCCCAATTTTATTCCAGATCCAGCCTTCAAATACCTGAAGGGCAGCTATTGGGAGGATGGACTTTTCTCTGTGACTGTCGAGAACAAGACTAGGAGCAATGACCTTGAACTGCAGTAGAGGCAATTTAAGTGGGAGAAACTTTCTGACTAGGAAGATGGTCAAGCATTGGGAGAAGGTGTCTGGAGGAGTGGTAGAATCTTCATCCCTGACTATTTTTAAGGGGTGGTTAGATGGACACTTGACTGGGATGATTTAGTTGGGGATGATCCTGCCTTGAGCAGGTAGCTAGATTAGATGTCCTCAAGCGCTTTCTTCCAGCTCTACTTTTCTGTGCTCCAAAGCCTAACGCAATTTAGATAACATAGTGCATTTTTATGGAAGATATGCTGATTGAATGAATTTGTAATGCAGAACATGCAAAAGCTAATGTTAGTGTTACTGGATAACTGGCATTTTATAAAAATGAGGTAGTTTATAGTGGTGTAGGTTGTAGCCGTGTTGGTCTAAGGACATAGGCAGACAAGGTTCTTTGTGTGAATCTGATATCTTTTATTAGACCAACTTAAATAGTCAGAAAAAA